CTAGTTCTTTTTAAAAATACAAACTCAGCTCAGCTATGCTGAGGGTATGCAAGTTATAGGGCTTCTACATATAAAGGAAAATGACTAATGTCAGATGATCAGGTAAGGTGTTCGCCCACTAATGAAGAAAAAATTGGAAAAGGGAAAAAATCTAAAGTCATCGTAAGGACAGTTTTGACAAGAAGTAATCACTTGAGCAAGTGTGTAATCTGTAAATTGGGGATAATAGCAAACTTTTGACGACTGTTGCACAATAAAATGAGGTAACAATGCAAATGCATAGTAAACAGAAAATGCCGATTTCAAAATGCGTGATTGTGTGTGACAGCCCCAGGCTGCCCACAGGCTCCGCTGTAAAAGGTGGTGCTTCGTTGGAAATGTTTAAACAACTTCCTTGGTTTGAAATAAGGTGTGTTAAATGGTCTAGCCCTTAAAGGACTGCTTCAATTTTATTTCCTACAATTCTACCTACACACCGTTCAACTCCATCCAAACTGATTAAGAGCATAAAAATCTGGTCAGACTCACTGAAATCCGGATCATGCTGTATATCAAACTAAGGAGACCCAAGCCTCCTCAGCGCCTGGCAAAATCAATCCATCTATACAATGCAATTTTGGACATTTACTATATTAAAAAAGTATTTTTTAACCTTTGTACCGTTATTTCCTTTTTCCCAATGCTGTAAGTCCCAGAATACAGTAAAAGAAACTTTCTGTCAATACTGTTTAGTGCACTGTCTTATTTGTATTAAATGCTTAGTAAATGTTGGCTGCTTTCAATGTGCTTTCACCAACATATGGTATAGCTGAACGTACTGGTTTCCAATATGGTAGACTTCACATGTAAGCAAACTGTACCAAGATCTACCCAACTAGTCACGCTAAAAACTGAATCATCATACATTCTTCTCCTTCAATGGATCTCAATCAACCCAGTGGAAGATTTGGGTGTTTCTACCTCAAACTATACCTTGAATCCAAACAATTCCCTCTGTCCTCAGTACAAATGCCTCAATCCAAGCTCACTGAACCTCTTCCCTGGGTATTCTCCTGGCTGGTTCTGCTCCCGCAGGTCTCATACAGATGTCACCTCCTCCGTGAGGTCTTCCCTGCCAGCACACCCAAAGCAGGGGGCCTCACTTCCATTCACTCTTTGATGCATCACCTCAGTTTACTTCTTTCACTTAACACATGACGTAATTATCTTGAGAATTTTCCCTTTTTTTTACCTGTTTACTGCCTGTCTCCCCACAC